TGAGTATGCTTCTACATGTACATTCAGGTCTGAGTATGCTTCTACTACTACAAAAGGTCTGAGCATGTTTATACCACTTCGAAATGTCATACTGTCCTTGAAGTAGTATAATTAAGGCCTTTACAAAAAACAAAAAACGTAAGGCCTATACAATTGATCCCAATATCCCCATACTTGGCAGTACATGAACTTCATCACTAAAGATGATGATCATCATCATCATCTTCAATTATGAAGTTCCCCTGACTTTTAGTATCCTCTGCTTCTTGCCCTACAATAAGTCTTGTAGCTTCCAAAAGTGCAATATCTACCTCAATTGAAATTGGAAGTCTCCCTTCTGCCTGCATCCTATCCTTTGCTGCGTGTGGTAGCTTGTAGTTGTTCCCCCCCTGCACTTTCATTATTTCAATCATAACATACTGATAGCTTAGCCATACTTTGTTCAGAGTCATAGGGGTTACTTCTTTGAATGCATCATCAATTGCCTGTAACAGTTCATCTACTGTCTTAGGTGCGTGCTGCTCTTTCAAAGATTGTATTGCCCTAAAAAAACCTAGGTCTAGGATGTTAAGGTCTGGAGAATTGGATGGCTGGTTAGTAAGTGTGATACTAAACCCATCAGCCATGGAAGCAGTCATATACTGTGCATCAGCCTGTGAAATGTGTGGGGTTGCATTATCTTGTTGTATTATGATTTCTTTGCTTAACTGTGGAGGCCATTTTTCCTTGATTGCTGGGAGGACTGTGTTGATTAACATGTCCCTGATCACTGTCTGATTTACCTTAGGGATAGGCTTGGTTTCCATGACACCTGCAGGTCTGTTTTTGCTTCTTCTTTTTGCTGCAACCTGTTCAACAAATGGAAACATGCCTATTTTTCCATCCCAAATGACCTCACCACTTTCTGAAAATAGGGGCCTACCCACTACACCTAGGGACATTACCTTAGTTATGAACCTCTTAGATTTGCATTCTCTGTGTGGATCAACCTCCTCCAAGGCCATGTAATATCTTTGAGAAGCTTTTGTCATGAAAAACCATTTTTCATCAATGTGAATGACATTATGAAATGTTGGAAAACTAGGCTTTTGTGGCACTGAATTGTCTATCTCCCTAAGACAGAACTTCAGTCTTTCCAATTTATTTTCATCAGTCAGAAATGGCTTTATTGCATTTGAGTGGCTTCTGAGCTTACCTCTGTGAACCAATCTGTGGACACTAGACTTTGATATTGAGCTGGCAACTGCTAATGATCTTATGGTAGTCCTTTTATGGAGTGGGATCTGTGATATGTCAGATAGATCAAATTCTATCCTTTTGCAGCCAGAATTACCACTCCACTTCCTATGCACATCTACTGCATCACCTTTTAACACTTGTTTTTTAACTGTCTCCCAAATGCCAGAAATAGTTCTTCTGGACACTTCAAACTATCCAGCAAGTTTTTCGAAAATACCTTTCTGAGCTTTCAAATCCCCCAAAAAGTCCCTCCGACTGGACATTAAGAGTGCATCTGATATGCTATCTTTTTCCATGTTTGAAAGTCTTTTTTTTTCGCACTGCATCACCCTCACCATCTGATATTACTATTTCCAGGTGTACGCCTCCTGGTGTGGAAGAAGCAGAAGGCATTGTGGGAGCTGAAGAAAACGTGGAAGAAGCAGCAGCTGTGGACGATTCCCCAAGTGTAGATGCTGCCATTTTTCCCCAGAATATGCGTGTGTGTGTGTGTGTGTGGAGTGTATGGTAGATTTGTGAGGAGGAAGGATTATATGTAATGAACTCAAACCTAAACTCCCTCCTTTTTTTTGGGCCTTGCCGCCTAACTTATGCAGATTTAGATTTAATATGAATAGTGTTTACTATTCACATGTCATTCATATCTACTTTTAATCATTTCAATCCTACTTAAACTTTTTACCACACCTTTTACCCCTTTCTTTATCCCTTTCCTAACCCCATTCGGCCAAGGGTATAATAGGAAAGTCAACCCACCCAACTTTTTGCATAAATTTGCGATACCGGTCAAAACCGGAAGAATTTTCCGGGACGGAGGGAGTATTTGTTTTCTTGTGTCCATTTTTGTTGTTGGTTTTGACAGTTTGTTTGAGTTTTTTGCCTCTCTTTATGTCATTGGGTATGGTTGGATCTATGGGAATAGGTTTGGCTGTGTCAAGCCCACTACATGGTTAGCGATTCGTGTTGCTCTCTCAGGGGTGAACGTCTCTAAGTCTCACCATAGGGTTACAGTCGTAGTTGTTGAAGTTTCAGTTGGTGTTAGTTTTATTTTCCTTTTGCTTGATGTAATGATCCTGAATCTTTTGATATGAATAGAGGCCCGTTTGATGATAAAAAAAAATGGAGTAGAGTAGGCCTGGACTCGGGCCCGAACCGGCCCGACCCGGGCCTAGGCCCGGTCGGGCCGGCGGTTTTGGAATGGGGGGCCCGGAACCGGCCCGGGTAATCCCCGGTTCCGGGCTGGGCCTCGGGCCTTGTTAATTTCTTTTCCTTTTCCTAGTTAACCCCCAACCCCCCCCCCCCCCCCAAACCACCCCAAATGGCCCAAAATACCCAACCCAACCAGAAAAGTAAAAAAAATTGAAAAAAAAAATTAAAAAGGTCCGGAACCGAGCTCAAACCGGCCGGGCCGGTTCAGGATTTGTGGGACCCGAGCCCGGACCGGAACCCACGCGGGTCGGGCCTATCCGGACCGGTCATTGACCGGGCCACCGGGCCGGAACAGTGTCGGTTCGGGCCGGTTCCGGGTCGGGCCACCCTGCCCGAGTCCAAGACTAGAGTAGAGCAATATCAACCGGCTGTGAAATCTCCGTGGTAGACGTCACAAGAGTGTGACCTCCATTGAGAGCAGCTGGAGACGAAGCCAAAGTTTGGGGGAAGGAGCAAGTAGGTGTTATAGTAGAAGAGGGAGTAGGTGTTATACGAGAACTAGTTCAAAAATCTCATATACTCAGGGGTGGAAATAAGGGGGTTGAGACTCGAGAGGTCACCCGACCCCTTGAAAGTTTGAAAGTATAAAGATTGGAAATACATTTAATTTGATATATTATGGCTCCTTTACTCATTAAAAGTAAAAAGATATGACTTCTGAAAAATCAGCTCTATTTGAACTTAAAATGAGTAAAATTTGATGCGTAATATTGACTATATTCCCAAATTTTATAAATAACGTATAATTCACACATTACGTACGTGACATAACTCAAGGACATAAAATTTATTTTGGGAGTCATTTACCTAATTTTATTAAACCAAAAAGAGATTACAGGAAAGAAAATGCAATGAAAGTACAACAATTAGGGAACTCAACAATTTAGAGAAGGTATTATGAAAGTTTTTGTCAAACAAGCTTGGTTTGAAGACGTGTTTGGATATTACTCGATGTCGTCTTTGTTCGTCTTTTGGATTTTTTGGAAGTGACTACAGTGAAACATCATCTGGTAAAGGTGATGTTGGAGCAACTTGTGTTTAAACCATCATCTGTTTTTTAGCTTTTGATCAAATTTGCTACGAGTGCCTACTTAATAGTCGATTTTTTTCTGGTAAAAATCCTAATATTAAATCGAGTAAAGGGGAACTATAGAGTTCATGGTAAGGCAAAGGGTCTAATCCGAGGCAACCATTGGTGCGGAAACCCATCGACTAAACCCCTATAAAGAAGCTCATAATATGTAGAGTTAATTATCAAAATAGGACTAAAAGTCATTCACTTTGCACAAATAGGAACAAAAAATAAACTATGTTTCCATAGGACTAATTATGTGTGTCTTGTTCAAATATACCCTTATACCTATTGGAATGTTTTTATTCATAATAAATAATAAAAAATAAAAAAAATTCGTAAAATAAACCAAAAAATTAATAAATTTTTTTTGAATAATAATAAATTTAAAAAAATTAAAAAAAAAATAAAAAAATTAAAAAAAAATCAAAATTTTTTTGTCACCGCCGCCTCTGCCGCCCCAGCACCACCACCTCTAGTCATTTGGGGAAAAATGCCACATTTATTATGAATTCCATATTTTTGGCATAATTCAGAATAATTTAAGATGGCAGAAAAAAATGTTGGCATTGTCAAAGAGAAATATGCTATGTTTTTGGCATTTTCCGAAAAAAATGGAAGTTTGTAGGAAATATGACATTTTTTTAAAGGTCGGAGGTGGTGGTGCAGGGAGGCGGTACCACCACCTCCTGTCACCGGGGTAAAAAAAAATGCCAAAAAATTATGAATGCCATATTTTTTGGCAAAAGTCAAAAGGATTCAAGTTGGCAGAATGAAAATGTTGGCATTCTCATAGAGAAATATGCCATTTTTGTGGAATTTAAAAAAAAAAGTGACATTTTTTACACCGATCGGAGGTGGTGGTACAGGGAGGTAGTACAGGCGGTGGGAAAGGTATCCATATATTTTTTAATTTTTTTTATGGAGTTTTACTATTTTTTATTAATTTTAAAAAAAAATCTTATTTTTTATTTTATAAAAATTTTGTTAATCTTTTTCTTATTTTTCTACGAATTATTGAAATTTTTTCGGATTTATTATGAATTAAACATTTAATTATGACTTTTAGCTATCTTTTACTAATATTTAAAGGAAGGGTAAGAATGGAAGGAAGAAATGTGTATGTTTCCAATAGGACCACTATGGTCCTATTTTGGAATAAAAACATAGCAAGTCCTATTTTGAGTTTTTCCCATAGTTTTAGTCCTATTTGAAGTAATTTCTATAATATGTATGAAATATATATAAAAATTTATAACTCTATTAGTCCAATTTAAACTACAATTTATATAAGTTACATAAGAAACATTCAACTCGAATTTTGTTTATTAAAAACAATTATGTGTTTTCATTCCGTATATAGTTGAGTTTCGACCTCTGAGTCGTTTTCTCCGTCAACATATTCCTATGTTTATAGAGTTAACCAGACAAACAAATTGTTTAAAAATCACATACCCGCGCAAACACAATAAAACATATCAAAAGACCCCTTTTTCCATCCTTTTAATTTTCTTTTGGGATAAAAAACTTTAGATCATCATTAAATCAAGAAACATCTTCATAATTAAATCAAGAAACAGCTTCATACAGTAAAATATTAAATATACAGTGTGTTTGTGTGTGTATGATCCGTGTGCTAAGGCCTGCATTGCTGAAGAACTAGCTTGCTGATATTATATGTTCTGCTTCTGAATATAATCACCATTCTTTATGTGGGTAAAGTTGGGTTCTGATCTGTATCTGATCTTGCACAAACAAAGCACAAGCTAATACTTCGTGTATAGTAGTAGTAAATGAAATGTTTATGGGCGAGCAGGCGGATGGATGAGGTCAATTAATGAGTGTACCTCGATCAGCTCATCAGAAGGGGGTTTTGCGAGAAGGCGTTGAAGGTGCAGATTTAGCAGACAGCAAAGGCAAAGTGCGGGAGAGCCAAGAATCAGTCGGAGATTCAGGTAAAGGCGGTGGCAGTGGCGGGGAAGCTGCAGCAGGAAACACAAAGTTCATCATCATATCTTTATCTGATGAATGCTGCCTTGGCTTCCTACTTGCTTCCTGTTTTATGGCCGTGCCTTGATACGACGAAGTAGCAGTAAGCAGCATCAGATCAAAGCTGCTGCTAGCATTATCAGTGTCTACATTTCTGACAGCAGCAGGCAGCTTTCTTTTGTTGGCTCCTTCATCTGTGAAAGAATTAGCTGCTGCTGCTGCTGCTGCTGCATGGCCTTCATGTTCTTTTGTCTTTGTCATCGTCATCATTTGAGAATTTCTGTTTGTAATTGAAGATCTCTCTGAATCTTGCACTTGCATTGAGGAGCTATTACTCTGATCATCCAACCATTTCTGAAGCTTTTTGCAGGATCTCATTGCATCAAGACCCGCCCCATTGCCTGCTGCAAATCTGCTTTTTCTAATAACTTCTACCTTTTGCTTACTTAGACCAGCCATCCATCCCTGTAAAAGTATTTTGTTCAACAAACAAATTTAAAGTATTAGGTAACTGTGTAGGTGGACATTAATCAAAGTTAACTCGGTTGTGGAAGTGAGGGAGAAAAACATGTGTAGTATAATTAAACTAGTGTCAAAGAAGACAACTAATAATTAATGCTCCAAACGCCATCCCTCGTCTAACCAAAAGAGAAATGCAAATAATGTAGAGGCGAATATTGAGTTACTCACCTTAACAGGTCGACTTTTAAAGATGCAATCACAAAGTGTTATTAGTGTGGGTTCTTACAACAATGAAAAATGAATATGGGAACATACCACGTTGGCATCATCATTTACTCTTTTTATGCAAGAACGAGCGGGGGAGTATGTGTGCATTTTATTACTTGGAGACGTGGGGAACACTCGAGTCTTTTCTAAAGTTGTTGCGGGTACGGGATCCATAATAAAAGTAGAACTTGTAACACAGAATGGAGGCACTGCTCCACAAGCTTTAGGAGGAAAATCAGTCGCGTCTGCTTCTTCTTCTTTTTCTTTTTTAAGGTCACGATGAGATCCGTAACACAGTGCATCAAAACTAGATGGTTGCAGCCTACCTCTGTGCTTCCCTGCCCGGTTCATAGGCTTTTGGAGCACCCCTTGTTTTGTGAGGGACACTGTTTTAGTTGATGGTGGCAAGAATAAACCAATCATGAAATTGGTAGGAGGTGCAACAGGCGGTGGGCAGGCACTACTAGTGTCTGACCCCTTAAAGAAGACAAAAGTGGTTTTGGGAAGTGGTGTATCAACAACATGATCCCCCCAATACTGCCTGCTGCTGCTGCTCACTATAACTTGTTGCTCATCATCATCATCATCCCGGTTGAAACTTTTTAGTCTGCGGACGGCTTTATCAAAGCTGCAGCAGCATTGGTTAGACTTGGGTTTTCCAGGGCTATCTTCCCATACAAACGGAACAACTCCTGGACTCCTCACGGTGGACTCTGATCTATTAAGTCGAAGTGCCGCCCCCGTTTCCAGCTTCTTCGCTGAAACTCCTCGCCTTACTGATATAATTGGTTGGTTGAGTTTTAGTTTCTTCTCCTCACCTTGCACCATTTTCTGATTAAAAAGAAAAAGTTTTGAACACAAAGCATCAAAATAATCGTAACATTGGTGTACGTTTGTTTCATTGGATCAAACATTTTTCTATTTCTGAGAGATTTTAAATTCAGATGTTAATCTATGGAACTACTTCATAGAGGATGAGTGTTGTTTTTTTTCATAAAAAAGGACGTCTGATCTTTTAGCATATTGTTAAAAGAATGCCCCAATTTGCAAATGTGATGCTCGAAAAACACTTGTTCAATTCCACTCCAGTTTAAAACATAAAACTAACTCTTCAGTAATTCATCTTATTTGTATCACTAAGCAATACGTAAGTCCCAAAATCGGAACTCAATAAAGGCCGGCCAGGTAGGTTAATGAGGGCTTTTTCGTTGCTCTTAGTTCCAAATTAAATCAAGGGATCAATTGAAGAATCAATCATACTCCGTCTGTATCAATTGCTGTAACATCTTGCACAACATAACGGTTGCTCGGTTATTAGAATATGAGTTCAAATAAAAAATGCACACTCCCCATGAAAAGTGAGAACAAAGTTCAAATAAAAAATGCACTTCCCATGAAAAGTAAGAACAAACTCGGTGCATTCAACTTATGATCTAAATATGCTAACAATTACGTATTGATTAAAAACGCGATGACATATTTGTACTTAAGTAACAAATCTCCCATTTTCAAATGAAAGGCAATAATAGTACTGCACATGAGAATAAGTGCAATCATTCACACTTTGCACGTAAACATCATCTCTTATTGGAACCACACTCATAATATACATATAGCGATTTGATTGACAAAAACAAAATTCAAATAAGGGAATAACTCATCCTACATACATACAATTTAGACAAATCCCTTCACAACACCAAATCTGAAAAGTGTCCGGTGTCATCATATTTTCACAGGTATAAATACAATTCAGATTGAACGAAACGTGAAATATTGGGAAATCCAATATGCTTTTCCTGAAAAACATAAATTTAATTACCTTGAGATAAATGGAGAAACTTGGGATCCAAGATAGATGTTCTTGATTGAAATGATTATGCCAAAGAAAACTTCACCCATATAAATACATATAAAATTGGTTGCAAAGCATTCCAGAAAGGTTAGCTACACAGAAACATTTAAGAATAACTCACTATACAGGTTTGTTTATACATGCATTTGGAATTTCTTGAGGGTGAGTTAACAGAATTAGCCCTGGGTTTTGATAGCTTCTGTAATTGGAAAACCCCATGTTTATGAATTCTTTAAAACAAACAGCATTTTGTGCCATATAAGCTGCACCGCTATAGAAAAAGAACCTTGTACAAGTGCAAAATTAGTAATAAGTGAATACATAGAATTTCCACTAAAGATTTTATTGTCATGTCCGGGTTAAACTTAAATCATAAGCAACTCACTTAGCATTGAATATGGCACAGTTTGCCCTTACTATTAGCCTATTACTTCTGTACTTTTACAAGATAAAATATGATTACTTATTAATTTTTTTAAAAAAGTCACTAATCATTATTTAATTAATATAATTTTGATTCCTTTTATTTCTAAATCCTACCAAATTACCCACCTCTGCCCCCTTCAGCAACGCTTGCCAGCAACAACAGCCAATAAATTTTGCCGAATATTTTTTCAATTTTTAAAATTAAAGTTGTCAGAAAATTTTTCCCCTTTTAGTGCGGCAACAACATATGTGACAGCAACACAGCTATAGTAACATGTATTAGTACATAAAAATAGGAGTGGTATAATAAATTGGTTGCAAGTCGTGACATAAAAATTTGACAATAAAATCATATTTATCTAAACTTATTATCAAGTTAGTCACCTTTTAGGAAAAAAACTTAAGGAATAATGCCAAAAATATTACTCCCAGCTTTTCATTTGATAAAAGTAAGAAGGGAAAACTATCAAATAAGCCCTCATACTATGTCAAAAAAATCAATTAAGCCCTCAAACTAAAAAAACACTCAATTAGACCCACAAACTTTAGAAAAACAGTCAAATATGTATTTTAGCCTGCTAACAACCGGTGAGCCGGTTGGTATGCTTATGTGGCCAGCCACGTGTCTGATTTTAAAAAAAAAATCCATTTAATTTTAGAACCCCTTTTGGGGTGTTGACCCACTTCCCAAACGGCTATATAGTCGTTGGGTGGGTACCAGGGGGGGTCCAGGGCCTTGGGGGGTGGGGTGGGGCTTAAAAAAAACCTATAAATACTCCTAATTTTAAACATTTTTTCACACCTCTTCTCCAACTCTTCCTAAATCCTACTCTCTACTCATCTCCATATTCATCTTCTCAAATTCTCTTATTCTCCATTATATTTTATTTAACTATTTAATACTTATACAATTATTATATCTACTTATATATTAATTATCTACTTATAAATACATATACTATATTACTTATATTTCTTATCTACTTAATCTCTACTTATATCTCTTAATATATACATACATACATACATACATACATACATACATACATACTACATCTACTTAATATATACTTTATATATTAAAGTATTAAATATACTTTATAAACTATTAGTATATACTTAATACATAATAATATCTACTTCTCTACTTATATTTCATATATACTTATTTTCTTATTCTCCAATCTCTCCAAATCTTCATTATACTCTAATATTTAATTCTTGTACAATTATTATATCCACTTAATACATACATTCTACATCTACTTAATATATAGTTTATATATTAAAGTATAAAATATGAATGTATTACTCATCTTATAGTAGTATACTTATATATTATATACTATAAACATTATATTATATATTAGTTACACTTTAATTAATATCACTTAAAATAATTCTATTACCCATTTACTCCCATTAATTGCTATACACATTCATACATTTGTCTTATTAGTTACATTTTTATTAACATTACTTGATTAGTTAATTATTATTCCCACTAATTGTTACATTTTTCATTGTACTAGTTAATTAGTTCATTAGCATTCTTGTTACATTTTTCATTATACTAGTTAATTAGTTCATTAGTATTCTTGTTACATTTTTCATTATACTAGTTAATTATTATTCTTTTTACATTTTTCATTATACTAGTTAATTAGTTAATTAGTATTCTTGTTACATTTTTCATTATACTAGTTAATTAGTTAATTAGTATTCCCATTAATTGCTAAAACAACTCTACTTCAAAAAACTAGTTAATTGTCATTATAGTTAAAGTTATTATAATAGTTTCAATTTATATTTGAATGAAAAAATAGTAGTTCAATCATTTAATTAAAGTACTTAACATTTTATTTAAGTAGTTTTTACTAAATTAAAGTACTTGAAAAGTTGCAATAATTTTAATTTTAGAGTCACACATTAATTCTAGTCTGCACTAAATTAGTTTGAAGTATTAATTAAAATAGTTTTAATTAGTTGCATTACTTTTGTATTCATTATTATATTTGTTGCCAATTAATATTTGTTACATTTTAGATGGAAGGTGGTAGATATTCGGTTGATTTGGGTAACCTCGAGCGCAATCGAAGGAACGAGATTGGGAGGAAGAAATCCCGCAAACGTAAAGAACTTGCCGGCTCTTCATTTCAAAGCCGAGATGATTTTGAAACGGGTTACCAAAGGAGAGATGGAGATGCGATGTCCGAAGAACAACTACAACAAGAATTGGCCCGACATAATAACCGCTTTCTACAACAACAACAAATCCCGACGACCATTGACGAAGAGGAGCTTGAGGATGAAGATGCGGAGGAAATGGAACCGGAGACGGCCGAGGAGGAGGGTGCCGGCAGCCACGACGCCGACGAGCCTGCCTCATCCCAAACCGCCACCGGTAATAGAAAAAGTAAATCTGAACTAATGAAAAATAATTTTGATAAGTGGAAGGACGCACAAACCGGCTATTGGCACGCAACTTGCAAGTGGTGCAACAACAATTATAGCTTGGGGACCTCCGGCGGATACGGATCCGCCGCAAGGCATCTTAAGGCAAGCACCCCGTGGAGTATGCAAAATTAGGCGGGGGACGGGGAAGCAAACTCAAATATCGAGGTTTGCAAATTCTCAACCTTTTGGTAATTTCTCCTACAATGATGCACAAAATTTGACTGGTATGGCTAACTTAATTTGTGAAGAAAATTTGCCTTATATGTTTTCTGAAAGGATGACACCCCATCCCTGAGGGCCCCCCAACACCGACCGGACGGCACGATGGGAGGATGTAAATTGGATTATAATCACAATCTGACAGATAGAGAGTGGGGCTCTGTCCCCGGTACTTACAGAGGTCCTATGCATTTTTCAGCATAGTAACCCCTCATCGTAGTTGCCGGGATTCGAACCCGAGACCTAACCCTTGTGGCACTCCCTCGCTACCAGTTGAGCTATGCCCACCGGTTCCTTATATGTTTTCTGAAAGCCTTGCTTTAAGAGATTATGCACAAGGTAGTTTAAATCCTCAATTTAGAAGTTATAGTCGCAAAACTGTTAAGAAAGAAATTATAAGGCTTTATAATGCGGAAAAGGCAAGGTTACAAAATTTTTTTGCAATCTTTGATGGGCGTATTACTATTTGTTCTGACATATGGGAGGATGATTTTCATCATTTATATTATTTGGGTCTCACTGCACATTATATTGATGAGGATTGGAATATGCATAAACGTGTTCTTGCTTTTCGTAAATTTAATGATCGTCACACCGCTGAACATATTTATATTTTGATTGAGCGTATTTTAATTGAGTATAATTTGATTGATAAGGTGTTTGCTATTGGTTTCGATAATGCTACTAATAATACTGCTGCTATACCTAGATTGCGTGAATTGTGTGGTGCCAATACTTTGATGGGTAGATTTTTTTAATCAACGTTGTGCATGCCATGTTATAAATTTATGTGTGCAAGACGGTCTAAAAGCATTAAGAGATGCTATGGAGGTAGTCGGGGGGGGGGGGGGGGGGTAGACGTATTTGGGGTAATGGTCAACTTAGATTAAAATGGCAAACTTATTTGACTGAAAGAGGTGTGAGATATGTTGCTTTTCCTAAAGATTTGAGTATTCGTTGGAATAGTACTTATAATTTTATAAATTACTTAAAGTTGTTCTTAGATATAAAGATCATTTTCTGCTTTTTTAAAACAATGTGATAACTATATTATAAACTCGGCTGAGATCGACACTTGCGAAAAAATTTGTAATGTTTTGATATTTTTTTTAATGCAACTGAAACTTTTAGTCATGTTTATAAACCTACCGCAAACCAATTTATTCGTGAAGCTGTTAATCTCGCCGGTGCTTTTAAAGAATTTGAGAATGCCGTTTTCGTGAGTTATTTTTGTGATTATATGAAGGAAAAGTTTTTAAAATATTATGCGCATATTCCCCATATTTATGGTATTGAATTTATTCTCGATCCTCGTTTTCGACTAGCTAATTTGGAAGATTGTTTCAACTTCTATTATCTTGCTTTTTTTTGGTGAATTTCCAATGTATGACGATAACCCCATAGATCCGAAAACGGAATACAACGAGGTTAGTGATTTATTTTATGCCTTATTTAATTAGTTTCGTGCACAATATAGCAACGTTCCCCCGACACGAACATCTTCATCTAAAGGAAAATCGATTTTTAAATCTGCATTTGTCAATCTTATGAAAAAAAAACTAAAACAACTCACATCACTGAACAAATCGCATTGAATGAGATTACTTTGTATTTAACATATGAAGTTGATTTTGAAGAAAATGATGACTTTGACGTTCTAAACTGGTGGAAGTCAAAAGAAAGAACGTTCCTGATTTTAGCACGGATGGCTAAGCAAGTACTATCAATGTCGGTTTCAACAGTTGCTGTGGAACAAGAATTTAGTTCAGCCGGCAACGTCCTAACGACATCTAGATCGAGATTGAGCGCGGAGTCTCTTGAGACGCTTATATGCTACCACGATTGGTTGAAGGCCGCACGTAGAACTCAAGAAATGAGCATCACCCCTTCCCAAGATTTTATGGATGACTCAACAACCGATGGTGACTCTACCTATGTCGGAGATTCCGATTGATTAGTATTTTAGAAGTTATTATAAAATGTATTTTGCAGCATTTGTCAAATTAATTTGTACTTGTACTTCATATTTCAAAATTGTAAACTTGTACTTCATATTTCAAAATTGTAAATTTGTAGTTGTACTTCAAATTAATTTGTAAACTTGTACTTCATATTTCAAATAAATATGCATTCATTTTTTCATATGTAGCACTTCTCAAATTAATTAATTGGTTACAAACTTACGACTTAAAACTATTTTTCTAAAATCTAAAGGCGGTTTTTAAATTAAAAATACATTTACAATATGTAATTTG